CCGTACCCCATTGGGTGCATTGGCCGAATTGGCCAATGTTTTTGCGGCAACAGTTTTTCATTTGCACAACAACGCAAGTGCTCTGCTAGCCGTGTGGAATGTGAGGCGGTGGTAGTATTGAATGGCTTAGTGGGCAGGGTGCTTGGCTTTGTGGGTATACAGTATTTTTTGTAGACCAACTTTTTATGATACCACGATGCCTACTAATTTTAATATTTTTTACAATTTCCAAGTAAACCTCCGAATGGGTTCTATTTCTTTGCAGCTGCAATTGTTTATCTTTTCAGCTTCGTGGCTTGATTCAGTCATGAGCAGCTTCAAACAGGAAGGCAGATCAACTTATAACAACTACCAGACAGGGTGAAACGGCGAAATCAAATAATCCGTCACTTTCCTGCAACCAACCGCACAGCGTCTTTTTGTGTATTTCCCTATGTGTCAACAACTTCTTGGAAAGGACACTGGTTTACGACGCGTTTCGTGCGCGTGTGTTTTATTGTTCATTTCCTCATTTGTGTTGTGTCACTTAATTCTTTTTATTGCGCACCACATACGAGTGCATGTGTGCTTACCTTGTTTAGCTTCTGGCTTCAAAAGCCATAAAGTCACAAGTCAAGTAAAAAATGAACAGCATGAATTCTTGAGAGCAACAGGAAGTCTACTGGGAAACTACATATTTAAGAATAGGAGTTTTTAAAATTAAATAACAATTTAGAGCGATTTGCCCATACCAGCTGAGCCTACCTCTCAAAGAATGATCAAGGAGGTGTTTCTCAAGCAACTTATATCGTGTGACAGGGGTTGTGCCCAAAAGCCTCTACAGCTCCTTCACTTCTCCAACCTCGTCAGAAATCGTTGAAGTAACAGGTCAATTGAAAAGTCTCCGGCCTGCCATAGTAAAACACATTTTTTGAGCAAAATTCAATTTTTTTAGTCAACATAGTTTCGTTGAAGGGTAATACACTAATCGTAGCGAACTCTCAACTCTTCGAATACCATTTTAGTAGTAGGATTTGCCCTTTGCTTCCAAATAGGTCTCAGTTTCAGCGATCACCATTAGAATAATAGCCCATACTTTTGCCGTAAAAGCCTATTAAACAGTACTTTACTATTATACCACTTATTAAACTGCTGTAAAACCGGTTAAGGAGGATTGAGTTGCTTAACGCCCAGCCAACATTGAACGTCGTTTCAAATAATCATCTCATTTTAGCTTTTTCAGCGAAGTTCGGTTCCTCTCAGCATCAGTTGACAAGAGTAGCTCTGTCTGGAGCATTATTATTGTCAACAGTGGTTTCTGAACTATAACAACAACAAACTCGAAACTGGTAACAAACTCGAGTAGAACATACTTCCTTCTAATTGAACTCCAGCTACTATTCAAAATCAGTTTATATATATGACTGGGCCTTGTAACCGCTGAAGCGATTTTTCGACGAACTCCTCCCCCAGTGTTTTGCCAACAAATAGAGGGACCTACAGTTTATGAGGGGATTTTTATTTCATGTCTGAATGTTGATCGTTCCAAGACTCCAACCCTGGCCTTCCAAAGGGTTATACGCAATACTAACCACTCAGATATTTCGGCCGCTATAGCCATAAAAGCTTAGTTAGAATATCAAATTCATGACATATCGACATAAAAGTGGTATGAGCCGATCTTTTTCTTAAGCAAAAAGCTAGAAAACAGCTAAGAAAGCTAGAAAATTGTATGGTTTCGAATGTTCCTCCCATAACCGTCAATCATCTGAACGCCAATCGCCACGACATTTTTGGAATTTACCTGCAACCTCGTTGGATGGCGACACTACAATCCATTCCAAAGGTGTTCGCTAGTATGCGATAACTTATAATTCAAATCAATCTGGTGGACAGCTAACTCAGGGAATGCAAGGGCAACGCTAGCTTTTACTGCGCTATTCCGGAGCCCGTAAGTCTTTACCTCTCTTATAGATATTGCACGCAATACTAACTCCACGACTTTCCTGCCAACAACCGAGGAGGGATGGTTCAGGAGATCCCATTCAAAAGTGGAGCCGTCCTCTTGAATTTAGAATGTGTGGTGTGATATTGTCGTGAAGCAGGCAGACTCCACACCACAACAGCCGGTTCTACGCACCGGAGTTAACTCAGATTTTATCCGGCCAAGGGCTCACACCATTTCGGCGACCAAATGCTGCTTAGATCAAAAGGTAATACTAGTATATGTCCATCAACGGAGCATTATCTGACAGCTGGGTTGCTGCGAATCCTCATCTAGGCTGGCGTCCACCCAACCCCGTTAAAAACCATGATATCATGTACTTCGCAATTGGCGGTAGATTTTTAAGTGTAAAAAATGTACAGTTATAATCTCTCGGGGATTCAAAAATATAAACGAAATATTTAATTACACAACAAAGTACATAAATAAATTATGAAAAGCTTCTGAGCACAAAAATTTTATAAAAAATACATATTGAGTTAGGATTCTTTCAGATTTAAGCTGCGCTGCGAGAAGTGTGTAGAAGAGAAGCATTGGGAAACATCATAAGTTCATCTTACCCGTGATCAAAATGAAGCCAACAAAATGAGTTTCTTTCTTTCATTCTGTGTTTGCGCTTGCCCCATTCATTGCACATGCATGTACCCATGTATGTATACTATATGTACATATATACCAACCCAGTCAAGGATAACAGTGCCAACACTTTGTATTCAATATTTGAATATCACAATCCCATTCACTGCGATTACGATTGCTACAATAACAAATTAAAACTGTATACATATTTATGTAGAAATGTTTGTAAATAAAAATTCACTTTGAATTGCGACCCTTTTAAATAAAGCAAACCCAACAGCAACATACACATACATACATACATAGGCACATACAAACTCAAACATTTAGCTTTGAGACATTCCGTAGTATGGCCTTCCATTCCTTTATACTCCCCTAAACGAAGATCGCATTAAATGATCATGTACAACATACATACATATATGTACAAACATACTCGTACATACATGTATATGTATGTGTGCATGTGGGTCTGAAAATTTAGTTGAAATCTAAAGCAAAAACGAAAAACATAAGCGAAACATATCCTGCACAGAACGACAATTTCGTCTGCAACTGAAGAAAGAGCACAGCAGATAAGCAAGCAACTCGGCGTCTTCATTTCGCGTTGGCTGGCACCCTCAGTTGTATGGATGGCAATGCGGAGACCATTTACGGAATATGCATATACATAGTTATATACGAATATATGCACAGTCAGCAAGTTTAGCGGTGATCATTGGATACATTGAGTGGACGACGACGAGTTGTTTCACTTCGCCGGAAAGCGATGAAATAAAATTAGTATAATAGAGCAGACATTCCAGCTACCCACTCGGGAGTGAAGGAAAGAAAGAAAAAAAAATCGCCAGTGGGGTGCTGTTGATGTGCTTGTATAGGGTAAACCATCAAGCAGTACCCCTGCAGGGAGACGGTAGAGTCGCATGCAAAAATTCTACTTAAATGCTGGTGTTTTGTAGATGAAATGCTGTTGTTGTAACCGCGTAAATATTCCCCGAATTGGATTTTTGTTGCATCTTACAACAGACATGCCTTACAGCGGGTAAATTCTTGAGACCTTAATCCGCAGAGCCAGTTATAGTTATTTGTATAGCAGTACATCTTCTTCTCCTTCATCTTTACTGGCGTAAACATACAGCTCATCCTTTCATCGGCTTCGGTATTCGCCGTTACCAACACGTGGAGGACAGTAAATGTTATGCAGGACCTTTCTCTCGAAAACTCCTAACGACGACTCATCAGATGTTGTCATCGTCCATTCCTCCGCACAATTGCCTACACAATTCAAAGTTGTACCTGTTGGCTAGAGTAATTCTTTGCTAGGTTGCAAATATGATATTTTAGGTGGTGTTAATGCTGACTCCATGATAGACGAAAGCAGACAACATTGACGTGGGTACCAAGTCGCGAATGCGACGATGACAGCAGGTATTTCATCTTGCCCACGTTCACTACCAGACCTCATAAGGTGCAATCAGGTTGTTGATTGGTGGGCTTTAGTCTTTCACACATTTCGCAATTTTTATGAATTGGGCAGTACCCATTGAGTTTCCAATCGTCGGGCATGGTTTCATCCGACTATATTTTGCAAAGAAGCTGATGCATACACCTTATCAGTTCGACACCGCCATATTTGAATAGCTCTGTCGGAATAGCGGACCATCGCTATTCGATCCTCGCCAACATAGTCGGATCTTCCCTTCTTAGAGCACCCTGGCGTTAAAATCTTAAAGCATGATTTTCCCAACGTTGCCGGGTCAGTGCTCATGAGTACGCTCCAGTCGCACAAAAAAAAGCTCTATTTGTGTACATCGTCCTTCTCTTCCACTGAGGCGTGAGCGCAAATCAGCGTTTTGTTGCAAAATTTCGCTTTGATGCGGATTGTGGCGAAACGTTCATCCACAGGAGTGAGTGCCAGTACTCGGACACAGAGTCTCTCTTCCACCACGAATTGTCACAAGAGCCAACCTTCGTCCGTTCTTGGTCTATCTGTAGAATTTTTATTTTTACGAGCACATCCACAAGCTGGTTAGTGGCACCTTCCCAATTAAAGGAATGGACACGCCAGATGCATGCTCTCAAATCGTGATTCTTTAAACATTTACAGGGTCTGCATCAGAAGGGAGGTATCACGTCCGAGGCTTTGTTAAGTTTTTCAATGCATCTGATGTCTAATAATGTTTAATTCTAATTTTATATAACATAAAATTTATATGGCCAGGAAAAGTATGGCCAAAGACAGCTCTTTAAATGTTTCGATGGCGGAAAAATGCTAAAGATACAACAATTTTGCCAATTTTTACTTTTCTTCATTCCCAAACCTCAACGCAATATCATTAAATCCATATATCACAATTTCAATATTCCACAAGTGAATTTATTCTTCGTCTTCACTAACACAATTAAATAAATGTGTGAACCAAAAATAAAATCAAAATATAATTTTATGCTCAATGCGCTTTTACATATGCAGACATATAAACAAAGCAAATTGTTTCACATAATTTCCATAAAATTTATATGAATTTCAATTCAAACAGGGGCACACAGCAGCTACTGTTTCCATGCAAGGACCTTTGCTGTGCGACTAGTCGGAAACAAGTTAATTGAAATGTGAGCACAACAGTAATGGGGTCACGCTAAAATTTTCTCACACAACAAAGTTAGTACAACTAGAAGCGTATAAGTGTCTACTGAAAAGCCTAAAAAGTGCGCATAATTACCTGGTCACGCTATTTAGCACCTGTTGGTTTGGTAGAGTTTTCATATTTGTTTGTTGTTAACTTTCCTGCAATCAAGTATCCTGTAAATAAATATATCAAAAGGATAATTTTATATGTACATATGTATAAGTATGTTTTGGTAGACTGAGAAAATCCAAAGGTACGATACAGGAGTAAACAGGAAAATTATATGTATGTATGTATTTTGGGAAAAAGCAGGATTTCCACTTGTGAATCACATACAACTTATGAAAACACCTGTGGCATACAAATAATTATTGAACAAAAAATCCTGTTCATAAATTTTTGGTCATTTACTACCACGTCACACGGACACACTCACGTAAATTAGGGGTAAAATAAGGCAAAGCAGCGATATGTATCTACTTGCAGTTGCCACACAGTGAAAGGTAGAACCAAACAATTCACGCATTTCCCTCGCGGACCAGATCACTGTGCGCCGTTCTCATGCCGGTCATGCTCCTGTAATCACAAACGCCGCGCAGCACATTCCCTCGCCGCTTCGTGGCGATGTAGAAATCATAAAATTAAGCAACAATTACCACAACAACAATGTACGTCTGTATGTCGGTATGTACGTGTGCATGTAGCTACCACCAACAGCAAGGAGGAAGGCAAGCGTGAAGCAATCAAATCAAATTTTGACTTGAAAAACTTTCTCTACGCGATCCAGTCGCGACATTAATGCAACGGCTATAAGCTGTGCAGTCACTGTCTTTTATTCACAACGAGATATTGCAACGGAAAGGGTATAACAAGGAACTGGTTTCTTGCTGGTGAAGGCTGGGACACAGAGTTCCCATACCGCTGTAGCATACCGGTGATAGTGGTGGTGGTGGTGGTGGTGTTGGTGTAGGCAGCTAAGAGCGACTTACATTACCATCGCGATCACACGCTTAATGATCGCTCGTAATATTTTGGATTTCCAGCTTTGAATTTTTGATTGCATTTTTTTTTTGTACGTTTTTTTCTGTTGATGTTGCCTCAAAATCAATGTATCCTTTAACTTGTTGCCTGTTAAATTGAAATTCGTTTTTGTAGCCGCAGGACAGGCCATTATAACACGATCGCTTGATGGATAATTTTCGAATTTCACAATTTTACATTTCACTTCTCCCTCACTTTGGAATACGAATTGATACATGGTATATTTATAAATATATAAAGGGTGTTTTTTTATTTTTTGGACGTTTAATGTTCCTCGAAGTTACAAGTTTTTCGGAGTTGATCTTTTTGCCTGCTGTTGCGTGAATTTTACTCAGTTTGGAACAGATTTACTACCAAAATAATAGTTCGGTCCGCCGGGTGCCAAGCGCTCTGCGTCCGATAATCAGTCGACATAATCTCTGAGAAGAATCGGTAATTCGAGCCACCGTGAATCGCATTCGCACCACCTTTACTCTAGTGGTTAATGTGCTTCCTCGGAGCCGCCATGTGGTTTACATCGAAGACGCTGCTGCTGATGTGGAGCAGAACATGGAACAAGATCTGAATGAGCCCATCGGGCTTTGAGCATGTATTTAATTACGATCATTTCAAGATCGTCGCCGCCAACACAGACGCTACAAAAATCCTTCGACTCACACGTTAATTTTAAAACAAGCAGACATTTATAATATGTATACATATGTATATGTATATATGTACTAATATCAAAGAATGTGCCCATCCACTTTATGGCTGATTTCGTTCAAGAACTGAAGCCGAACGATCAAGAAGCGCGTCGCACGTTCAGTGAATGAGCCCAAAAACCAGATGGCCATCGATCCCGCTTTTCACAGAAAAATTTTGTTCAACGATGAAGCTCACTTTTGGTTGAATGGGTACGTTAATAAATGAAACTTTCACATTTGGAGTGTTCATAATCCTCAAGTCATTGCTGAGTTGGCACCACAATTTTTTCGCTATTCGATTTGAGTAATGAGTGCCAGAATTGAAGGCTGTCGTTGTGGACGATCTTTGGTTCCAACAAGATGGCGCTACATGTCATACCGCCAACGAAATAAACAATTTATTAAAAGATACTTTTGATGTGTGGATTATCTCGCGTCGTGGACCCGTGGCTGGCCCTCCAATAGCATGCGACTTACTAGCGCCGACCATTTTTTTTTTTTTGTGAGGTTATACGAACGCAGATAAGCCCAAGAGGATTGACGCCTTGGAAGACAATTTTCGGTTCGTTGTTGCTGACATACGGCTCCCTTGGTAAAAAAAAAAATTAGATATCTGAGCTGGAATTTATTGGAACCAGCAGCTCCGATCACTTGCCCGCCATCATTTTTAAAGCATAATGTCAACTCTACAAGTCCCTCATAATCCCCGCCCTAATATACGGTGTAAAAACGGGGACGATGTCGGCATCTGATGAGTCGGCCCTAAAAGTATCAGAATCAGTTTTGAGAGAGATTTAAGGTACTTCACGTATTGGCGCCAGGGAAAAACACTGACAATGGAACGAGGAGGTACGAGGTACGAGTTCTACGATGGCATTGACACAGCTCAGCGGATGAAGAGACAGTGGATCTAATGGATAGGTCAAGTCGTCCTAATGTTTGAAATGACTTCAGCTTTGAAACTATTCAATGTAGTAAACGCTGGTCGCAGCAAAGGAAGAGGAAGACCTGCTAAGGATCAGCGGCCAGGTTTCACTGGCTCCAAACCTCAATAAGAAGGGATGAATGTCGCGATTTGTTGATTCGGCTATAATCGCGTATGCGATGCCTACGCCAGTAAAGAAGAAAATAAGAAAACCCCAAGTCTAGAGAAAACACCCTGTATATATGTATACATGAATATGAAAGCTGAAATATTTATATATATATGGATGTTTGTATATATACATACATATATCTGTAATTAATATACATATATGTAAGTGTCTTTTGCTCGTCGTGCCAGGCGTTCAATTTGAAGGAGGCATAAATTTTCGCTTTACCCTTTCCTTGAGCCAATTTGTACGCTTCCCATCGATTCTTCCTGGGATTTTGTTTATTTATTTTAAACTTTTTTCCTTGAACAGATAATTTATATTTAAATTTCAACCCTCTCAACTTCACATATACATATAAATTAAATAAACAAACAAAAATTTTAAGTTTATGCTGTAAATACGTTCTATGTATGTATGTATGTATGTATGTATGTATTTAATTACGATCATTTCAAGATCGTCGCCGCCAACACAGACGCTACAAAAATCCTTCGACTCACACGTTAATTTTAAAACAAGCAGGCATTTATAAATATGTATACATATATGTATGTATGTACATATGTACACATATCAAAGACAGACAGCCAAGTAAGGACACAAGCAGGATTGTATGCCTGCGAACGCCAAATTATCCGGCTCTCAATCATTTGCTCGATCGTTGGCGCTCACCGTCTTAGTGTATGGTTGCATGGCGGTTTGTTTATTACGAGTTTATGGAATCAGTTGTTCAAGGATATGCATAATGGCGTACACAGTACGGCATACATACAGTACATATGTACATACTTATACAATATATGCATATGTGCCTGAGTTTTATGTATTTTTTGTGACTTTTTATTACAGACAGGACTTCGTCATATACATATGTATGTATGTATTATTCAACACTGATCCTTGCGTAACGTCCTGCATTTCAAGCAACGGTGATTTCAATAAAATAAATTTTTTCGTTGCTTTTCCACTTTTTATCGTCCTTTCGGCGTTTTGAATACACAACCGAGACTCCTTCTTTAAAAATTTCATCTTTCATGTCTGCTTTTTATCATTTAATTTCTTCAACTGATTTTTATAGTGATTTTTTCCCGAATGTTCACGTTTGTGTGTGGGTGTGTGTGTGTGTGTTTGTTTGTTGAACACCTGAACGTTTATTTAGGATTACAATTTAAATATTGAAAGCGTTTTTGTACTCCTTCATTGTTTTTTTGGATGTGAATGCTACTATATACATATATATATATATACATATATACATTGGGATTCAAATTTACCGATCTTTATACTGGACGATGGTCTAACAATACAGCTTTATTTAAATATTCACATACATAATTGACGATATAAATACGTATGTAAGTGTATATATGTACTCATTGTTTGTCTACTCTAAAGAGAAATACCCGAAATCAGTTTAATCGACTTTGAAGGACATTAATTGATGATGTTGCTCGAAAGGTTGTTTTGTGATACTCACGAAAACGTTTATGCAGTATGCATACATATGCATACATATGTAGAAATAATAATACACTCTCATTCAATGATTATTCAATGTATATTAGATGTGTATTTATTGAAATTCAAATAGCAACTGCCCTTTTAGTCTTGTGTCTAGTACGCGTCTGCTTCATTTGTTCAGTTTTTATTGCCAATATTCAGTCTGGCAGGGTTGTATTATACAGTAGTCTTAAGTTAATATTATTGTATATAAGTAGTAGTCTTTTGGTATGTCCGTCCACTTCGAGTAGTCAGTCCGTGTTTACCTCCTACACATATGTACATATATAAATGGAAATATCATTGTCCTTATGTTTGTCAGTTTATTCTTTCAAATTTACGGCGCGGGAAATTGTTAGTCTTTTCTCTGAGTAGAGTATTCCGCGATTAGTCCCAATCGGATTTAAATGATTGTGAATTACTTACAAATAGTCTCAATCGGCTATTATGAAAGGTTAATAAATCTACGCTCACACCTTAAAAGTAGCGGAAGTGCACCAGCCGAGGGCACTCGGTGGTTGCGGGCACCCCTGTCAAAATTTTCACACTCAAGTTGAACGTCTAAGAATAGCTTGTAACCCGCAACCGCAGAATAAAAAAAATTTGTTAAGCAAAGATACCTGCGCACGATCTATGCTTACACCCAAATTATTCGAATTTTTGTCAATCTGTTGGTGATCTCATTACCGCAACGAAGCTACAATTTTTACTTCGAGCAAATTTCAAGTACCGGTCGGTCTCTAGTATACTTCTCGCAGGCAAGAGTAGCCTTCCTGCTAGGCTATGCAAAGAGACACTTATGTGCCGAATTTCAAGTAAATCACACCATAATTACTATTTTTATGAATACTCCGGGTGAGAAGAGTAGCCTTCATGTTAATCTAAGCAAAAGTCATCTATCCACTTTCCGAAAAAAAAACTTTGAAACCATTCCGAAGCAGTTTGCAATGCTGTTTGTAGAGAATTATATTTGCTTAGATTTCATTCGCAGCATAGGAGTACTCATGTATAAAGAGGTTTCCGGAACAACTTTCATGAGCTACGTACCACTTTCGGAAGGAGTTGATCCTCTGTAAGCGGCTTCATCCAAAAAAGCCTTCGACGCAAGGTGGCGAGCTTGTGAAAACATTGCTTTTTTGCAAGAAAACACCGCTAGAAGGACATCTTGGGAGTTGATTTCAACCATATCTAAATACAAGTATATGATTTGTACTTATATATTCAAGTTGGCTTTTTACTAACAAGAGATTCCGCTCATTGGCATCCGAATTTACTGACCGTTTGGTGCGACTATCGAGATGATTGTTATATTAGAGAAAACGATCAAATATCGATTCCCTGGCGACTTTGCTAAGCACAAAACCATATCACACAGTTATAAATTTTGGCAATCAGCTGCTGTTTTGCTGGTGGTCGGTCGTAAATTTGGTATGCGTACTATCACTCGGATGGCCTTGGTTCGAGTCCTCTTCCAACTAGCAACTATGAAATTTTAGAAATTGCGGTCACACTTCTGCAGGGAATGTCAAGCCTCTCTGACATAAACCAAAAACTCCTCATAGAAATCCAACGGCCGTTCGGAAGCGGATGAGGATAAACTACAGGTCCATTAAAAATATTAAGAGACATACCCAAATTGGAGGAGAAGCTCAGTCGAATAATAACTTTAGCGGTTTCAGAAGCGCCAATTATTTAAAAGTTCTTTCGAGGCTTCTGACAAAGTGACTCTGCTTCGTTTAACTTGTATGGGAACATATAACTGCTGGCGTATGCCGATAATTTTGTTTAAATTACCGCAACGTAAGCTTTGCTTCCTCAAGACTGTCTAAGGAAGGGAGACGGATGGGTCTGGTAGTGAACGAGAACAAAATGAAATATTTAACGCCATCAAACAGTAATCGCATTCGCGACTCGCGTTCCG